AAGAAGCAGACGGGTTCAAAATTGAAACGTGACTAGAGTTGAAGGATATCAACATTATAACAAGTCCTAACTCATCTAACATGTAAATGTTATGAACGGGTTTCGGCGCCAAGCTATTTAAATTGTTTTGTGAACATAACTCGTGACATAGCATTTAGACCAAACGACACGTTTTTGAGAGGTTATCTAAAAACTAGCATATTGTGGATGAAGAAACAAAACAAGCCTTTCTGTGCTTAAAAATCAAAATTTTAACATAGATACACGTGGTTGGAGAACGCTTTTTAAATCTTTTGAAAATTTCGGAAAAATTGAGGGAAAATGAGAAAAAAGCATAATTGGTTGAAGTTAACGCATAATTTTATACACCCAAGAGTTTCAAAGGAAGTATCCAGTACTTTCGAGCACTTTAACACAATGAACCAAAATCCAAAGCTTTCGAGACGTAAAAAGCCCTCGTCAAAAGCACCCAGGATATTCTACAGGTACCAAATTTACATATAATTTAGGTATAAATAAATAAACCGATAGCCAACGGGAAGGCGAGATATCCGCCCACGTGACCAGTTCGGTGGGAACGCTAATTATGTAGTTGAGATAAGGCATGTAACAGAGAGGAGTGCAGAGGGGGGAGGGTAAAGTTTCCATACACTCACCGAGACTGCTGGATTGGCAGGAGTTCATCACAGAAACAACTTGTACTCCTTCATTTGATTACAAGTTTGGCTGAACTTGTGTCATTATATTAAGCCATTTTTTGATAAGATAAGACAAGGGGAGTGGAATACGTTTCCACAGCCTGCGCCTCCAGACAAAAATGTTGACGAATAAATACTAACTGTATTCATATTATATTATACATACATATAAGAAACTAAGCGGTAACTCCTGGAAATCGCTCTGTAAATTCCTCCAAGTTCATTAATAACAAGCTGGACTATTTTTCTCGTCATTGAGGCTGAACAGCATTGTGAATACGGTCGATGTTCTGCTTGAAAACTGTTTAATTTTTCTAATTTTATAATGAGTCATTATATGCAGTGTGTAAGACTAGCATTTTAAAGCCATAGCTGCATTTCTATGGGAACTTTCTTGCAAGATGCATATTATTACAGCTAAATACCTATAATAAGTCGGTGACAAGACGGGTTTATTTAAACTAAAAACAATAATAAACCTGCTCAATATCACCAAGCTAGCTGAAAAATTTAAATGTTCGCCAACGAAAAAGAAAAAAATCACTCGACTTTTACTAGCATGTTTTTTAAATGGAAAAGGAAAAAAAATCACTCAACTTATAACCTCATGTCTGGTGTGAATATTGTGCGCGGTGTCTCTTCTGTAACCAGATACGCAGGCTTATTCACATGTACAGCTAGACTATAGAGCCACCTTGAGAGAGAGAGAGAGAGAGAGAGAGAGAGAGAGAGAGAGAGAGAGAGAGAGAGAGAGAGAGAGAGAGAGAGAGAGAGAGAGAGAGAGAGAGAGAGAGAGAAAGAGAGAGAGAGAGAGAGAGAGAGAGAGAGAGAGAGAAGAGAGAGAGAGAGAGAGAGAGAGAGAGAGAGAGAGAGAGAGAGAGAGAGAGAGAGAGAGAGAGAGAGAGAGAGAGAGAGAGAGAGAGAGAGAGAGAGAGAGAGAGAGAGAGAGAGAGAGAGAGAGAGAGAGAGAGAGAGAGAGAGAGAGAGAGAGAGAGAGAGAGAGAGAGAGAGAGAGAGAGAGAGAGAGAGAGAGAGAGAGAGAGAGAGAGAGAGAGAGAGAGAGAGAGAGAGAGAGAGAGAGAGAGAGAGAGAGAGAGAGAGAGAGAGAGAGAGAGAGAGAGAGAGAGAGAGAGAGAGAGAGAGAGAGAGAGAGAGAGAGAGAGAGAGAGAGAGAGAGCCACCCTGTATCATGAAGTTTACAGATAGACTAGGAAATTCTCACGCAATCTGGAGAACTACCAAGATTCGTGAAACTGTGAAAGCCAAAAATTTAAAATTTGGAGATTAAGTTAATAAAAATATCCCAAGAAAACGTACACATCAAGGCTTGTGAAGGCTTGATTTATATATCACTGAACATAAAGGGCGATTGAAAACGTGATTTTGTGAAGGACCTGCTGTAATTTAGCAATGGTTGTGTCTTGGTGTGACCCCTGGCAGCCTGGCAGGTTTGAAGTTGGCGGTTTATTTAACGTTCACAGATCAAACTACAGATTTCAGGTTAAGTGGGCCGGGGGGTCTTAATCAAAATTATCTCGAAATTGATTTTATAGTTGCTTCTGATAGAGGGGAGTGATATCTACCAGCTGCTTCTGGTCAATGTGCAATTGTATTGCGCGAGCGATTTTCAATCAAACATCTTGAAAAGCAAGTCTCAAAATCTATCTTCTCCTACATTTTTTGAGCAATCACCCTGAAACTTTAAGGATATGTTCTAGGGATCATTTAGAAGAGACCAATCGAGCCGAATTTTAAGATAGGCCTTAGAAAAACTCGATTTTCAGGGCAATACAATTACGCATAAGCGTTGACCTCCGGCCAGCGATAATTTCGGCTAGGAACATTATTTTTCCATCGGACTAAAAGCAGCTGATAGATATCACTCCCCTCTATCAGAAACAACTATAAAATCAATTTCGAGAGAATTTTGATGAAGACCCCCCCCGGCCCCCTTAAGTTAAACCGCTAAATTCAATACTGGTTGAATACTGAATTGAATATGAGAGAAATCTTATTATGTGAGTTAGGATAGCTCGCAGGTCACGCACTTGTAGGTCACGATACTCACTGCTACTGCAGCTAAACTGTATTAAATACCACTTTAGCCGATCACATACGACTATTTACACTAAGTCAAATCAAGTACCTACAGCTGCTGTATAACAGATAACTACGTAAATATAAACTATAACTACGTAAGTATAGACACAGTTAGCTTAAATAAAGCAACACACAGGAAGATAATTTATTCCAACTAATCGTCCCTCGTTAGGCAGAACTAATTAAACGGTACAAATTTCAGCTTCGACACCGAACACAAAAGGTGGGAAATTTTGATGAGGTACTGTTCTTCTCCTCTGTTTCCTTTAACAGACAATACGACACACGAACTATTCATTACATCATCAGCGTGACTCTCTTATCTGGCAAATGTCCAACGGAAAATATTTGCGCGGTTTCGACAGAATTCACAGGTCATACAGCGAAACGAAATATGCGTAATATAAACACATGTTTACCGTCTGAGGCAATGTATTTCATTCCGGTTATGATGATAATTAATTTACAGTTTTAGAATTGCGCTGAGTTGTCATACGAGACGGAAACAAGGGGAAAAACTTAAAATGGAAACTTACACTTACAAAGTAACAAAATGACACTGAAATTTGATTAGCGTCCGTGACTTTGTATAATATGCTACCTAACATGCAAGGGAATTCCAGGAGGTTAAAGTGTTAGATCATTAAAAGATGCTGAACTAGGAAATTGTTCACAATATAACTTAATTATTTACCTAAATACGTATTACCATAGCATACTTTACTAGTCCTGTAAATGATGATAATATTCTTTTTAACTATCAGGATATTATTTACAAGCCTTCTGTGATTTATTTAAGTGGTAGCGAAAGACGTTCAGATAGGATCAAATAACAACAAATCAACTTTCAAAAGTATAGAAGAAAAATAAATCATTATTTGTGTAACTGAATATCAGAATTGCAACTTTCAGTCACTACCCCTATTTGGCACTGATCCAACTTTTCACAATAACTGAACAACTGTTTGAGCGTTATTCTGTAAGTCACTAGACGTGTTTATTAAAGCGATGAGTTACTTTTCTTTTAGGGGCCATAACCTTAACTTTTATTGTTGCAGTCTCCAGGTACGCACAAGGCTGGAAGGAACCTTTAAATTCTGCAACTATTTGAGTGTTGTGATGACACATGTAAAGGTCAAAGGTGGTAATAACACACCACAACAAGTATTTACCTACACGCACATCACGGCAAACAATACCTCCTGTCACATGACCGCAACAGGATGAACACTTTATTTGTATGAACATATTATGGGGGCTCACTTTGTTAAGGAATTTTATAACACCACTCCACAATGGAACTCTTTGTTGGGACGTGCTTATTGTAAATTCCTGGAGGAGTACGGAAAACAAAACATTCCAGAGTCTTTTGATATAAACAACCGTCTTATATCTTAATTGTCTACTTTTACCACAACAGAAGACAGCTATTTTAGGTAGAGCTACACAGTACAGAGTGTTATGGTTCTTCCTTTATAATATCATTATAACATGAACTGTAGCTGGTTGTTTTGATACTTCACTGAAAATTAAACCCTTTTATTTCTAAATTAATTTGAGATGTACATGACATGTTTCCTTTTAGAGCACCTATCACGTATTTAAGTATAAAGATACCAAAGGTACCAAATTAAAGATACCAAATCAGTACAAGGCTCACTTACATACTAGTGCCGGTGAACCTGATCTCAAAAAAAGGAACAATCTTGGAGCTTTAAATGTTCTTTTTGATTCAATCGATATAACACATTCGAATGATTGAGTTTCATGGAAATTATCATGATATGCAACACAAAACAAATCAAATCTCAAAAAACTAATCAAATTTACAACACGGATCAGTAATATTATACACATTACACAACACTACAACATATCCGAATCACTGTGTCCGCTCAACTGGGTTTCTAAAATATAGTACGTGTCTGGCTAGACTGTATTTTAGGGGCGCAACATTCGATGGACAGCTGCAGTAAATGGATCGATCAATTTTTCTAAACATTTCCGCAGCTCCTCTCAAAAATACAAGGTCTAGCCAGCACCTAACTTTATTAGTCACCAAAGGAGACAACATCTAGAATCACCCGTGCGGTAAATGTACTACCGATACCCATATCAGAAGTACCCGCATTATTTTAAATCTGACAAATCACCGATATGACTAGGGATTGATTAACAAAGGGTCCCAGACAAATAACTAACCTTAATGGAGGATCTTGAGGAGGGTGAACTGCCGTCGTATGAACTAGATCGGTAGTGGTTGTTGTGGTTCCCGTGGATGTTAACCAGACTGTTGCTCTTAGGAACCATTCTATGTTGCTGTCTTGGTATGTCGTCGTGGAGAGATACCGACCGCTGGGGGGGAGGCGAGGAGTTAAACGAAAGTGAATGCGAAATTGAAAGTCTGGATGTTAGCCAGACTGCTGCTGTCGTGGTATACAGTTGTGACGTGTAGGGATACTGACCGCTGGGGGAGGCGAGGAGTTAAAAACGAAAGTGAAAGCGAAATTGAAAGTCTGGATGTTAACCAGACTGCTGCTGTCGTGGTATACAGTTGTGCAGGGATACTGACCGCTGGGGGAGGCGAGGATTTAAACGACTGTGGTCTAAATTTAGGTTGTCTGAGTTTTAGTCAAATTATTGACTAAGATTGAACATAATCCATAAACACTAAAGATACTAGAACGAATGGTTTTACCAATAGGCATACAGAGCATAATATACATTATCACAAGGTCAAACTTCCGAATACTGTGCTTGTAGAAGATAATGGAATATGGATAAACAAACGAGGCATTTAGGCGATAATCGGCTGACATAAACTTTATTCTTGGGGACATATTATAGTATTATGTATATATACTATATACATATTATATATTATTATATCTTTATACGATAAGTTTTGAAACACCTGTCAGATAATATTTATCCGGGACAAGGTAATTACAGTTTTTACTGTAGTTGTTCACCTAAATTCTTCGTCTGGTGTCATTGTTAAAATACAAAACTGTCTGTTTTGTCTAGATAAATCCATTGATTTGCACTAGGGATAATGCACTGTAGGAAACCGAACAATTAAAGAGTTGACGACAATTATTATGATTGAAATAGCTTATCGGTAAATTTTCTCAAATCCGGAAGGGAAATATTCCAGAGATTGAGCTGATGAGATGGTATATAATTAGGAAGACGATTATACATCGTAGGAGTTACGCTCACCAAACTTAGAATCATATTACTTCACAGATTTCTTTTAAATGTTTGTCAAACTAGAAACATGATTTCCTCTAAAAGATGTAACAGAGTAAATAAATTTTAATGTTGCCATGGCGGCAAGTCCTCATACATCGTAGTCCGATAGTTTCACTGCGTCATAATATTATATCTTCATTTTAAATGCTAATTATAAATGGTAACTAATAAATCGTTGCTAACAGTAACACGTTGCTAACAGTAACACGTTTCTAACAGTAACACGTTGCTAACAGTAACACGTTGCTAACAGTAACACGTTGCTAACAGTAACACGTTGCTAACAGTAACACGTTGCTAACAGTAACACGTTGCTAACAGTAACACGTTGCTAACAGTAACACGTTGCTAACAGTAACACGTTGCTAACAGTAACACGTTGCTAACAGTAACACGTTGCTAACAGTAACACGTTGCTAACAGTAACACGTTGCTAACAGTAACACGTTGCTAACAGTAACACGTTGCTAACAAGCTAACAGTAACACGTTGCTAACAGTAACACGTTGCTAACAGTAACACGTTGCTAACAGTAACACGTTGCTAACAGTAACACGTTGCTAACAGTAACACGTTGCTAACAGTAACACGTTGCTAACAGTAACACGTTGCTAACAGTAACACGTTGCTAACAGTAACACGCTTTGACACGTTATAAGAATACATATATAATAGCTATTGAAAAATGCAAGTTAGTATGACTATGCGTTCAACCCTGAGAACACTGAATAGTGAATAGGCATAAGTACCCAACCTAGTATATCTAACAAATATTGTCAGCACCCGTAAAATTTGTAGACTACTAATTCTATACTAAGTACTACTACTAATACTGCTACCGTTACTAATACTTTACTCAAAAGAATTTGAAAAGCGACTAATTCTATGCAGACTAACGATATAAACAGGCGGTTCTCTCAAAATATCCAGGCGCGTGGTGCCTATTACTCTATTAGACATTAGTTGCTTTTAGGAATGAAACTATTCAGAGACAGGTTTCTAACGGCGTAAGAGGATCCAATGTTACGGTGTGAAATACCAAGACAAAATCTTCGCCATGAAGAATCAAGATCTAAGCATTAGAAATAGTATAACGCAAAATATTCGATGGATTCATTTATATTTCATCGTAGAGGACATGTTTGGAAGCGACGAATAATGAAAATATCGTAATAATCCAACACTCAACAGTCGACCGGTCACATTTTTCAGGCATCAACGAATGGCGAATAGTTAAAGACCTTAATTCTACACGTGAATGGCTTCCAGCACGAAAGAGCCACGCACGAAAGAGCCACGGTAAAGAGCCACGGTAAAATAAACTTTAACGCAAATTTTGCAAGGATTTGTAGATATATTCTGCTACAAGGATTTGCAGTATATTCTACTATATATTCAACTATATACTATAGTATATTTTACTAGTATCTTCTACTCAACCTGAGGTTTAAGATCCAGCGGGGGTTTCTTATTGTTCCACAAATAGTACAGTTCCAGAGGGTTCCTCTCCTCCACGTACTTCTCTATCTGATACGCTTCCACCACGTAATACTCCGTCATCCTGCGGGGAAACAATCCTGTTTAACACCAGTCTTATCTTCAGATATAAAGTACCTGATATACACCAGTCTTATCTCAGATATAAAGTACCTGATGTACACCAGTCTTATCTTCAGATATAAAGTACCTGATATACACCAGTCTTATCTTCAGATATAAAGTACCTGATATACACCAGTCTTATCTTCAGATATAAAGTACCTGATGTACACCAGTCTTATCTTCAGATATAAAGTACCTGATATACACCAGTCTTATCTTCAGATATAAAGTACCTGATGTACACCAGTCTTATCTTCAGATATAAAGTACCTGATATGCACCAGTCTTATCTTCAGATATAAAGTACCTGATATACACCAGTCTTATCTTCAGATATAAAGTACCTGATATACACCAGTCTTATCTTCAGATATAAAGTACCTGATATACACCAGTCTTATCTTCAGATATAAAGTACCTGATATACACGAGTCTTATCTTCAGATATAAAGTACCTGATATACACCAGTCTTATCTTCAGATGTAAAGTACCTGATATACACCAGTCTTATCTTCAGATATAAAGTACCTGATATACACCAGTCTTATCTTCAGATATAAAGTACCTGATGTACACCAGTCTTATCTTCAGATATAAAGTACCTGATATACACCGGTCTTATCTTCAGATATAAAGTACCTGATATACACCAGTCTTATCTTCAGATATAAAGTACCTGATATACACCAGTCTTATCTTCAGATATAAAGTACCTGATATACACCAGTCTTATCTTCAGATATAAAGTACCTGATGTACACCAGTCTTATCTTCAGATATAAAGTACCTGATATACACCAGTCTTATCTTCAGATATAACGTACCTGATATACACCAGTCTTATCTTCAGATATAAAGTACCTGATATACACCAGTCTTATCTTCAGATATAAAGTACCTGATATACACCAGTCTTATCTTCAGATATAAAGTACCTGATATACACCAGTCTTATCTTCAGATATAAAGTACCTGATATACACCAGTCTTATCTTCAGATATAAAGGACCTGATATAATACACCAGTCTTATCTTCAGATATAAAGTACCTGATATCATATAATCAATAAATTATTTGTCTAATACTTCACCCGGACACTTATACACCAGCCCCTTAATTGTAAGCAACAATCAGTTTTTATTGATTATCTCAAAATCAACTTTTTAGAGATATACCTTTTGTTTGGGAGGTGACGATATGATATTTTCTGCTATATCTTGTACGAGACCCATAACAATAATGACTCGCAATAATAAATACGACTAAATTACAAATCTATAAATAACCTAGATTTGGTTGGACTGATCCCTTGACCACAAACAATATAAAAATAGTTCAACAATCAGTCGGATAGGGATGAGCAGCTTGTGTCACATCAAGATGACCATGTAAGGACTGCTGGTCTGTTGCTGTAATGCAGCGGCCGGGGTTGCGATCACATACGAATTCAAGGTACATGGAGGAGATGCAATCGATCAATTATCCCAATTGGGGTCATCAAAAGATATTATAGTAACACTTACAAAAATTTAAGAGCCTTACACTACGATGATGTGGTGGTGATTAATAATATATATGTGTATTAATATTATACCACAGTGGTGGTGCGCGTGTCCTAGTGGATCTGATCTAGTGTGCTTGTTATATAGGTTGTGCAGTTATAGGGAGTCCGGGTTCAACTTGCCAATCAGGTCGCGGATCCAGTGCCCTCCAGACATTTAGCTAATCGAAATCTGGTTTCTCTAGAAGACGCCGAATGCGAAATCGAATTTTAAGTAGTTCAATACTGTCAGTTACTAGCTATATCATTAATCCCAGTCTTCCATATCAAATATGGTTTTCAATCCCAGCAACGATTTATTTGGATATGATCCATATTTTTCACTGGCACTCCTCACACAATAAACATGAACCACCATGACCTGGCTGATGATCTGGAGATACATTAAAATATCTGGACTGGTAGCCGGGGTTCCATGTGTTCTACACACACACTTCATGTCTTCTTACACAAACAACTCATGTTGCACAGTACAGTAAATACCTAATATACCATAACATTTCCTCGCCGCCCCCCCCCCCCCCCCCCTGTACCGTAATATATACAGGGTCTCGGATTTCGCATATTTTAAGAGGGTTACCCACCCGGGGCCAACTCGTGTACTGAGTAGGGGAATGTGAAAAATGTCTGCTCATTAGCGGTAAACGAGATCACATATTTTGAAGTGGAAAGTGGCTGTGAAGGGTCAAGGGTGCCTCATCCAATTCTTAAGAAGAGTCTGCATGAGGTGTGCTGACTTTATGCTGAGGGAAAATAATGAATACTTCAGAATTCTCAATCTCTTATTCTATGTTATGAAATATGAGTTAACATCCATTAAGATTCTACAGCATTGGTCCCCTTCATCATAGAAAACGTAATATCATAGAAGATACCACAGTATTGGATTATGGCAGTAACGTCGTCTGAATTAATTATTGTGATGAGTCAGAACAGAATACCAGGCTAGGCCAGGGGCCGGGGGGACCATCTTCTTGAAAACAGTTTTTTACGAGTGGCAGCTGGACCTCCCCCACCTCGTCCTCCACCTAGTCCCCAACCCAGTCCCCCACCTCGTCCTCCACCCAGTCCCCTCACCCAGCCCCCCACCCAGTCCCCCACCTCGTCCTCCACCTAGTCCCCCAGCCAGTCCCCCAGCCAGTCCCCCACCCAGTCCCCCACCCAGTCCCCCACCCAGTCCCCCAACCAGTCCCCCACCCAGTCCCCCACCCAGTCCCCCACCCAGTCCCCCACCCAGTCCCCCCACCCAGTCCCCCACCCAGGTACAGTGTACACTTTTACGATACAGATAGGACAGAGTAACAGGGCCAGGGGGGTCCGGAGACCATCTCCCATATCTACTAGAGGTAGTTAGACCCCCACCCTTCTCTCTTATAGGGCCAACCTTACATGATGTAACCGTGTCTGACTCTGGCAGTATGTAACATTGATTTCTGAAGAACACGATGTGCCAATAGTCAAATGACGCGTTTAATGAGGACACATGAGGTACAGACTATATTATAGTTTAACTTTTAAACTGGTATTTAATGTCTCCAACACATCAAAATTCAATATTCGTAACAATGTACACACACCTCATCATAATATAAAGGCTATATGAGGTGGTTTCTGTTATATAGTGAGGTAACAGTGAGGTATTACGGATCTCTCTGATTTGGCAGAGCTCACGTCATGTGGATTATATCTGAATTAGTAATGATTTAGAAATACGGGAATTACCGTTGAGATCCATATTTGAGCCTTTACATTCACGTTGTGAGTGCGTCATCACTACTTGAACCAGACTAATTCAGCAGTACACAATATAACAGGATAATAAAACACCATACGAGCTTCTTTATTTAAAGTTAACAAATTGGCACTTAATAATGTATGACAACGTTGGTTTGCTTGCTCAACTTCAGTTATTACGATGTTGTGTTCATGTAATAAATATCAACACGAACCAGAGCTTTGTTCGAAGTACATCACATTTAGTTTGAAGAAGTGCGGAACTGTATCATCAGAACCAGACATTATGTTTGATTAATGAAATAGTGTTCAAATTTCGAGTGCTCAGAGCTGAACACTATTATATTACACGGTCAGTTGTTCCTAAAATAAATTTACTCAACTGGGGTATTAGTGGTGAGTTCCACGCACAAAAGTAATAGTGCCAGTGTCTCCACTCTCAACTACTTCAACTACTACAGGTATGGTGTACCGTGTACCTCTAATTTTATAGCGAAACGAAATAGTTAAGGCCACAGGGGGGGGGTCCGAGGTCAATTTTGAGATTTTGAGATATGTTGTAGAGCTCGATCTAAATTTTCAAATGCTTTTGTCCTTACCGAAAACAAAGTTTCCTATTTGAAGATATCGCGCGTTGAATTTTGAGGTTTACCTGTAATTCTATTGTAAATGAAAACTTTAAATGCAATTGTGTTCAAAATCTATCTTCTTTTTTAGTTTATGACTTAGAACCTTGTAACTTGCCAACAATGTTCTTAAAGGTATTTTGAGTTTTTGTTATGTAACGATTTATGATATCTTGCTCCAAAGCTGAGATATGAGGTTAACCATGAGTGAGAATTACAAAATTTACAAAATTTAAAATGGTTAACCTCATAAAAAGAGTTAGGAGCAAAATTACAACAATCGTTACATAACAAACTTTTAAATTTATGTCAGGAACATAAGTTCCAAATTTGAGGTGAAATGGATAAAAGCTCTAGGAGAAGATAGGTTTTTGAGGTGGTAAATAAATTGTTCAGGAGAGTCAAAAGACCATGATTCTGAGAAAATATGTTAACCTCAATTTTCCAACAAATAAAGGACATATAATAGTTCTGTTCACATTGGATGGCCAATTGATACCCATTGATAAGTTTAACTTGTGACGAGAGCAACAAAATGTTAAGAACTGGTTATTTGTGAGGTTAACTGATTAAAAAGGCAATAGTTAACCTCAATTTTACGGCAAACTAGGCGCTCTGGGGGGCTAAGGGTGGTGTGCAAGCGTCAGATAGTACGTGGTCTGCCAACTGGCAAAAAACTTTTTTTCGACCTCGGACCCCCCCCCCCCTGTGGCCTTAAACAATCAAGGATCACGTACATCAAAGGAAAATAGTAAATACAACTGACGCCAATATGGATGTCACGCCGACTTTAAAATATTTCTTACTCTGAATCGGAGAATTTGTTGGACTGCATACTGACTTTTTATGCGGGGTATGTTGAATATGGACTTCTTCATGGCTTTGACAGGACATGAGGGGTGTTGTCAAGTGTTGTTAACAACAGGTTTAATTTATTTATAACACCTGCATCTAGACACGTACTATCTAGTCCTACCTAGGGTAGACTGTTCACTGTGGTCAAGAGGTGGTCAAGAAGTGGTCAAGAAGTGGTCAA